CCGCACATTTTCACGTCAAGTTTGGATTTTATAAATCACAACATTGGCGTGAAAAGTGGCGTACGCAAGTTTCTGGGCTCAAATTGTGCGTACGTCAGTTTTATAAATCCGACCCCAGGTGTGTTTTTAAACATTTGCTAAAGCTTTTTCTCCTCCTCATTGGGGTATTTATGGTCAGGACTGGCTGACAGATACATTGTTCAAGCTGTAGCTGGAAAAACTTAGGAGCCTCTTTGATATATTTTTGTCCCCTCAGTAAAACCTGGGGTGCAGTAGCCTACATTTGCACCCTTCTTTGCTCTGGGTGCACTTTTTATATTCCTCTGTTCCTTTTTTTAATGCAGCTTAGCAGAGAATAATAAAGAGAAACATGTACTTCATAAATACTGTGATCACCTGTTTATAGTGTTTGATTGGTTCTCTGTGCTCCTCCCTGGCTTTAATGTGAAATAATAACAGTGTTTTGTTCTCTCCGTCAGATTACTGTCAGCTCACGTTTGACACAAATACAACCAGCAGAAACCTCAAACTGTCTGACAGCAACAGGAAGGTAACTCATGTGAAGGAGCTTCAGTCGTATCCGGACCATCCAGACAGATTTGAAGGCTACTGCCCTCAGCTGATGTGTAGAGACGCTCTGACCGGTCGCTGCTTCTGGGAGGTGGAGTGGCAGGGCGAGGTCGACGTGTCAGTCAGTTACAGAAGAATCAAGAGGAGTGGGGACCGAGCTGTCTGCGAGTTCGGAAGAAATTTGGAGTCTTGGAGTCTGAGCTGCTCTGGTCGCGGTCATTACACTGCCTGGTACGATGAAAAAGGAGTCTCCATCTTCTCCTCCTCCTCCTCMGCCTCTAACAGAGTAGCAGTGTATGTGGACTGTCCTGCTGGCATTCTGTCCTTCTACAGAGTCTCCTCTGACTCACTGATCCACCTCCACACCTTCAACACCACCTTCACTGAACCTCTTTATCCTGGATTTTCCTTTGGATTCTGGAACAGGACAGGTTCCACTCTATGCCTGGTTTAGTGTCTCCAGTTAGAGAATAAAMGTTGGTGAGGGTTTACTTGAATTGAACTTTACGCTGTTTGAAAGAGCTTCAGATTAACTGTTCTTCTGCCAAATCCTACTTTTGAAGCTCTGGTCGCCACATATCAATACTTTTTGGGAACAAAACGTTAARAGTTATTGTAGAGCCTCATTAAAGGCCTTTTAAGAGATCTGAAAACCACAATAATTAGATGTGGTCGTCAGCCTCAGTTAGCCTGCTGTGTCTGCTCAGACCATAATGCCTATCATCAGAAACGCCTGAACATAAGTCTCACTCAAAAAATAGCAACTGACTGTGTCCTTATCTCCATGAACATTAAAGTAGATACACAGGAGTAAACTCTAACAGACAGTTTGCAAATGTATTTTTCTTTTATACAACTGAAATACACACACACTCTCGAGTGTGAAGCAACTGGGATGAGGATCAGTGCCTCCAAATCCGAGACCATGGCCTTGAGCCGGAAAAGGCTAGGCTGCCTTCTCCGGGTCGGGGAGGGGGTCCTGTCCCAAGGGGAGGAGTTCAAGTTTCTCGGGGTCTTGTTCACGAATGAGGGAAGAACAGAGCGGGAGATCGACAGGCAGATTGGTGC